TATTACGCCATTTAAGTATGAGTAACGCAAAATAATTCAAAGGAGATCTTTTAGAAGTACGTGTTATTACTCTACAGACCTTTAGACCATTAGAAATATTTCAATGTCAACTGCGATTGCCTACAACTGCATCTACACTAAGGGATTGTTTAATTAATTATTAAGCGTGTGAACGCTGCAAGGGATTACCCAATACATTTAGCAAAAATATCGCACTACGCACAGCTAATTCAACTGTTTAGTTGCACAACTAAAAATCGAGTAGCGCACATCAATATCGAGTAGACACATCAAGAACTAGAGTATTGTTCTGTCCGATGTGCCAACTCAATTATATACCTTATTACGGTATACCATCAGAGCCGAGTCGTGAGGAGAAATCGTCCCTCTCAGGTCACCGCTAGAAAGTCTCGATCGAGTTTTAATTCCATTTCTTGCGACCATCTTACTAACGTGAAGGGCCAATGATTACAAGCCCTTGTTATTGCCAACTATTATTCTCATTTATGCTGGGTTTCTGAAGTTTCCATTTATCTTATTGTTAGCTATTGATTCATTAGTGTTAGAACAAAGTTTTAAAGAGTGAAACTCAAACGCAGTTCGGAAATGAATTACACGGAATTATAAAACCAATAACATAAACAAATGGTTAAAAGTAGGTGGGAAACTGGCCATTAATAACTATTTTATAGGAATAAAATTTATCTTATTATCTTGTTGATCAAGGTACAAAGGTAGAGGAAGACCGAAGAAAGTATGGATGGATTGTATGAAAGAGGATATGCTTAAGAAAGGAGTGGATTCAGATATGACGGCTGATAGAGATGTATGTAGCAGCACATACGACCCTCCGTAAGGGATAAGGGCAAGTTGATAATGATGTCTTGTTAATCAAGGTAATTTTATTGTTTAACGAAAAAACATGGGTGTGTATGACTGATGATACGTGGTGTAACATGTTACATGACGAGCGTTTATGGCAATACGTAGTGTTACGGGAAAAAACGCGAGTATTCTACTCGATGTGAATGTCGTTAGTAAATACTATTAAATAAAACTGTTAAATATTCACAAATTACAAGATATAAGAAACAAGGAAGGTATGCTTGGTTGGTTAAGTTTTAACAAATCCGTTTAACTTAACAATAAAAGAAGGAAAACATTTGTTGCCTCTTGCCCTGAAAGAATTTAAATACGTACTTCATCATATTCAGAACAATATTAAGGTCCGTACTGAGCGATGTTACGAGGCGAGCATTCATGCAGGTAATAATTAGTGTTACGATGAAACAAGGAGACCGTTGGTTATGAGTGTGGAAGGGTACATCGGTAGAAGTAGACATAGAAAGAGATGGATGGATTATTTTAAAAGGTGACATGATCAGAAAGGGAGTGACAGATGACGTATGATAGAGTTATGTGGAGGATAAAAATCTGTTGCACCCTACGGGAGTAGGATAAGGAGAAATATGATGACGATAAAACTAGTGGATTACGAGTCGCTCGATGTTATACCTCGTAACATTGCATTGCGTAACATTGGTCGGTACCTTAAAAATGATATACCTAGAGGTTTCTCTTTTTTTATAATACTAGATTTCGCCCGCGACTACATCCGTGTTGAATTAAAAATAGTAGCTTATGTATTCTTCCAGACTATCCTCTACATCTATGCTAAATTTCATCAAGATCCGTTCAGTAATTTAGACGACAAACTCTAACAAACTTCCATCTAAACTTTTACATCATACTTACTATACTCGTATAATATTATAAATGCGAAAGTTTAGATGGATGGATGTTTGTTAGAGTTTGTAAGCTAAACGGCTGAACGAATTTCAATGAAATTTAGTATACATGTAGAGGATACTCTGGAAGAACACATAGGCTACTCATTTTTTTTAATTCTACGCATACGGAGTCGCAGGCGAAAACTAGTTTATAATATTAATAAGATAGTTGTTTGTGTTACGTTACAATGCAAACTGATCAATCAACATGTTTAACCCAATTAAATCTGTCCTGTTCATATTAAGGACATGAAACAATTAGATAATACTTGTCTGATGTCACTCGAGCTGTATGTACGCGCAACTAGTGATGTGCATTATACATTATATCGATAAAATAAGGATGTGAATGACATCTGTAGATTTATTTCACCTTAAATGAGATGAAATAAAATCTTTTAATCCTCGTCTATAATTATAATGCGTCAGATTTTATCAATAAAATATACTAATATATACCTAGATATATTACTATAGATATCCTAATATTATAAAAAGAAAAGAATGGATTTTTGTATGTTGAAATAACTCAAAAACTACTGGACCTATTTCAAAAATTCTTGCACAATTAAAAAACTACTAAATCACTGAGAAACATAAATTTTTAATTTCGTGCAGACGAATTAGCGAGCAACAGCTAGTATACATGCGAAATTTTGGTATCTCCTAAACGGATTTTAGCAAAAATAGCACAAAACCTAATCTTGGAAGAGGCATAGACCACTAAGTGTCTTATTTCGCGTGGATAACAAGCAAACGCTCGATATTTTACATAGATGCGAGGAAAAACGCAATTATATAGTATTCTGTTATTTTACGGTATTTCCCCGCTTATGGTCTATCTGAACCGCCCAGTTCCTCTGATAAATACAACGATGAAATCAGTATTTATGTACATAATAAGATGAAAGTATTAGAATATTTAGAACATCATCTGTTTAAAAAAGGGTTTTTTGGAACATTATCATACCAATTTTTTTAAGATGTGGAGTGTCATTTGATTAATATTTAGTAGCTGGTCCAAGCAATTACAACGAAAAGTTTTATAGTAAGAAATCTATACTAATATAATAAAGCGTAAACACACACTTTGTTGCCTAAGATGTCAGCAATCACAGCATATTTTCGAATATTTCTATTTTAATTAAAAGCCCTACACTTACGTCACGATTTAGGCTATATATTTTCACGCCGTTAAACTTAAGGGTAAATATTTTGGATAATAACCCTAATGTGGGAATAGACCATAAGTTGCTGCCAACATCAAGGAAGCAAGATTGCCAAGTTTTATGCTGATGAATTCGCACAGTAACAGCTAGTTTTTAGTATTAGCAAGATGTTCGAAGCATATTACGATAATAGTACAGATGAGTACGTCTCTATTACACTCGATTGTTTTGCGTTGTTTATCAATCCGATTGTCTCCGCAAG